CAAGGACCCACAGTGTTTCTGCTCACTGCTGAGGGCAAGTGTTCAGAAAGGTGCTAATCTTTATCAATCTAGCCTTCCCCTTTAGCCTCCCCCAATGCTTCCTTCAGAGCACAGCTATAGTCTGGTACACACTGGTACACACCTATAGTCCCAGCTGCTTAGGTGGCTGAGTGGAAAGATCACCTGAGCCCAGGTATTGGGCTCCAGCATCTGGGCGGGAAACAATGAAACCTAGGCAACAGAGTGAGAGCACTTATCACCAAAACAGAAAGGAGACTTCATTCTCAGATCCTTTCTTAATAAGAGTCTTACAGAAGCCCAGTGTGCTTTTGTTATCCAGGGAAAATTGGAGCACAGACCTGGCACCTTTACCATACTGTCATGGACACACACACATGGATCCCCTCCACACACATCCCAGTCTGAAATGCTGAGAAAAAGGGTGTTCTCATGCAGTTGGGAAGAACAGAGGGCCAGGGGAAGAGGTGAAGTGTTACCGAGACTAGAGGTCTGAGGAAATAATGTCTCAGGAAGTGGATGTGAGAAGGCTATTGACCCTAAGTTTTGGTACTCAGAATTTGCATCTCAATCTCATAATCCCTCTTCCCTAGTATATGGCCTTGAGAAAGTGGTGGAGTGGTGCCCAACTATTGTTTCAGTTACTCAGGAGGCTGAAGCAGGAGGATCACATTAGCTCAAGAGTTCAGGGCCAGTCTGAGGAAACACCATCTCAAAACACCATGTCAAAAAAAAAAAAAAAAAAAGAAAAAAAGGCATCAGAAAAACTAGCCTAGAATTCAGTGTGTCAAAACAATGTGTCCAGGAGGAGCTGCCAAGTAGGAAGAGTTCTAAACAAATTTATATTATAATATTTTTCAAACCTTGAAAATTATTTCCATTAAAGCCTCAGAAAAGACAGATCTTAAGAAATTTCTCTCAGTTGTAGAAGGGAGAGACTGAGGGAGGGCTGTTTGAGATACTTTTGAGGTTTGACTGTTCTGTTGCTTCCACTGGCTCCACAGAACTCAAGTACTTTGACAGGCACAGCATCCATAGAGGTCTTGCAAAGGCTGTGTTTAGGATGCCAAGCAGAGAAGACGGCTTCAGTCAGAAACAGGAAGCAACAGGAGAGCGAGGTCCTGGGGGCAGACTGTACAAAGCAGAAGCAATTAATCAGTTTTGGTTTTCTTTCCAGCAGCAGTGCCTCCCATGTCTCCTCCTACACCTGCATACTACCATGTCCTCTACCAAGGATGTGGAGAAACACAGGTGGGCTGGCATGGGTGGCTACCAGCCCTATGGAGATGCTGCCTTGTCCACTCCACCAAAAGCCAAAGAAGAGAAGCCAGCAGAGAAGCCAGCCCAGAAACCAAACTAGAGAGGCAGAGGGGCTCCCAAGAAACGACGAGCTCCAGAGAAGCAGAAAAGACCCTGGGTTGCCCTAGGCCCAAATTTCGTGCCAAGAAACCACTGTCACAGAAGCTGGCTGGCTGAGCTGCTCATTTATTTACCTAGGACATCTAAGGAATCAACTTTGTTTTTAATTCTAATTCCTGTATTTTTTTAAAGAAATAAAAAATTTGGGACTGAAATTGTGGCTCAGTGGTAGAGCACTCGCCTAGCTTGTACAAGGCACTGGGTTCGATCCTCAGCACCACATAAATGTAAAATAAGATATTGTGTCTACCGAAAACTTAAGAATAAATATTTTTAAAAAATTTTACTGTTGCTGTTGTGTTAATCATAAAGTTATTCAAATACACAAAAATTTGAGAGAGAAGCTCTGCAGATGGTTGCAAATGATTTACAATGTTGTCACAGAGAGGGCCTTGGTCTAACTTGCCATGAGGAACTACTGCAGCTTATGCTGGTATCTTCAGAGTTTGGCAGAGATTGCATCTGTATTTAAAAGCCATCCTTGGGCTGGGGCTGTAGCTCAGTGGTAGAGCACTTGACTAGCAGGGATAAGGCATTGCGTTTGATCCTCAGCACCATATAAAAAAGGAAAATTATTTAAAAAGTATATAAAAAAGCCATCTTTATACTCCTTCTCACTGGCTATCACTCTTCTTTGTAAACATACTCTTCCCAAGATTTCTAAGGACATTATCAAAACCATTTTCCTTCCATTTTCTTTTGTCCATCTGGAGTATACTAGAAATTAATAATAGGCTGCTCTACCTTTGACCAAGATACCCAGCACTTTCTATTTTTTATTTGGAGACAGGATCTCAGAAATTGCTCAGGCTGGCCTCAAACTTCCAAGTGGAAGGCCTCAGCCTTCCATGGAGCTGGAATTATTAGCATGTGCCATCATACCTCACTCTCTTTACAATTTTCTTATTATTCAATTTCTTTAGTTGTCAATGGATCTTTATTTCACTTATTTGTTTTTATGCAGTGCTGAGAATCGAACCCAGTGCCCCACACATGTAAACACTCCAACACTGAGCCACAACCCAGCTCACTCTTTACAATTTTCTACATTTCCTGTCATCTAGACAATGCAAAGAATTACTTTAATAATCACTGTGTTGGGATAGAGTAGTAGAGAAGAGAATCTTTAAAAATCTGAAGGAGAGGGCTGGGGATGTGGCTCAAGCGGTAGCGCGCTCACCTGGCATGCGTGCGGCCCAGGTTCGATCCTCAGCACCACATACCAACAAAGAACTAAAAAATAAAAAAATAAAAATAAATTTTAAAAAATCTGAAGGAGAAAAACAAATCCAATAAATATATTATACACAACACATACTAATGAGTGCTCACAGGATGTGCTCAGAAGGTTTAATTTCAGTTGTTACACTTTAATTTCATATGTAAGGATGACAGATTCAATCGGAGAGAACATTAACTCACCACAGATTTCCAGGCACAGTGCTGCATACCTAAACTCCAGTAGCTCAGGAGGGAAATCCAGGAGGAACACATGTTCAAAGATGGCCTCAGCGACTTGGTGAGATTCTGTCTCAAAATAAAAAATAGAAAGGTCTGAGGTAGATCTCATGGTTAAATGTCCCTTAGTTCAATCCCTGGTACTAGGGAAAAAAACACTATTTTTGAGAATTGGGAGAGTGGAGGAGCCACTACCTCTGCATAGGAGATACAAAGGTTAGAGAGCACAGGATACAAACTTTAGAGGCCTCAAGGAAGCCTGGGCACTCACCAAGCTCTATTTGTCCTTCACTTCACTCACAATCCAGCCCTTCCTTATGGGATCACAGGGTCAAAATTTCAAGCTCACTCCCCTGCCACAGCAATTTTCCACAATGGAATTTCCTTCTTTTCTTTCTTTTTCCTTTTTTTAAAATAGACAATACATTCAAAATAAAAGAGGTTCAAAATATATTTTTAAAAATTTTTACTGTTTGTTCCAATTAGAGAAGAGACTTTTTTAATATTTATTTTTTAGTTGTAGTTGGGCACAATATCTTTATTTTTATTTATTTATTTTTATGTGGTACTGAGGATCGAACCCAGGGCTTCACACAGGCTAAGTGATTGCTCTACCTCTGAGCCACCAGCCCGAGACTTTCAATCTCCACTTTTTTTTTTTTAGTACTGGAGTCCTTTAATATACCCTCAGTTCTTTTGGAGACAGGGTCTACCCAAGTTGCTGAGGTGGGCCTCAAACTTGAGATCCTCCTGCTGTAGCTTCTGGAGTCACTGGAATTATAGGTGTGTACCACTAGGTCCACCTAAATCTATACTTTTTAAAAATATTTTTTTAGTTGAAGTTGGACACAATACCTTTTATTTATTTATTTATTTAAATGTTTATTTTTTTAGTTGTAGTTTGACACAATACCTTTATTTTATTTATTTATTTTTAATTTTTTTTTTTTTTGAGAGAGAGAATTTTTTAATATTTATTTTTTAGTTCTCGGCCGACACAACATCTTTGTTGGTATGTGGTGCTGAGGATCGAACCCAGGCCGCACGCATGCCAGGCGAGCGCGCTACCGCTTCAGCCACATCCCCAGCCCTATTTTTAATTTTTTAATATTTATTTTTTAGTTGTAGTTGGACACAACACCTTTATTTCACTTGTTTATTTTTTCATGTGGTGCTGAGGATCGAACCCAGGGTCTCGAATGTCGTGTGAGGCCAAGGCGAGCGTTCTACGCTGAGCCACAACCCCAGCCCCTATTTTATTTATTTTTATGTGGTGCTAAGGATCAAACTAGGGCCTTGTCTGTGTTAGGTAAGCGCTCTACCACTGAGCCACAACCCCAGCCCCTATTTATTTTATGTAGTGCTGAGGACTGAAACCAGAGCCTCACACATGCTAGGCAAGCACTCTACCACTGACCAAAACCCCAGCCCTAAATTTACACTTTTTATGCAGCTTCCCTTTTGAACCATGAGAAAAAAGCAGATAGTTAGCCAGCATGTGCCACTACAGCATACTTCTTGGTATCTGTTCTGACTGGCTAGTACCAGTTACTAATTATTTTAAGTAGCACCTCTGGAGTGTAAATTTACTACCCGCATAAGATGAAATAAAACTCAACTTTCCTTCGACCAAGCCAATGTCCTTATATTCTTCTTTTGACTTTCCAAATATACTGTGTAAGTAGGGCCCTCTGGTTTTTTTAAGCAGGCAGGAAGACATTCTGAAGCCTCCTTACCTAAAGCATTGGTGTCAGGATGGGTGACTCCTCAGAGCATAGTAGCTGACTTTGGACAGTGGGCCAGGAGGACATCTACTAAGTCTACACTGTCGACCTTCTGCTCACCCTACAACAAGGTTCCTAGTGACATCACTGCAGGAGTCCCTCTGATGCCTTACACTCAGCAACCTCAACATGCTTTTAATATCTGCTCCAAATCTGTCCTTTCATCAGCTCCTGATCACAGATAAAGAACAAGAATCCCAGGGGGCTGGGGTTGTGGCTCAGCAGTAGAGCACTGGCCTCGCATGTGCGAGACCCTGGGTTCAATCCTCAGGACCACATAAAATTTAATAAGTGAAATAAAGGTATTGTGTGCAATTACAACTAAAAAATAAACATAAAAAAAAGAATCCTGTTTCTTGGCTGCCAGTCTACCCTCCCTGAACCCCAACCACTTATCCCACTATCCCACACCCAACAATTTGCTAGCCAAGTCCAAGTAACCAGACCTCTAGTCTTTTGCCATGTATCCTCCAGAAACATGGCTTCCCTATCAAAAAAAAAAAAAGGCCAAAGATACCCGAAGTCCAAGTCCAGCTGATCTGATCCCAATTAAAGTTTGTGATCCTATGCTCTTTTGCTTCCTCTTCATCTCCCATTCCCCAGTCCTCTAATGAAAATGAGCCATTCACAGTTCTGTCTTCACTACCTAGGGGCCTCCATGCTCCTGCACATGGAAATCTTTTCATATTGTCTATATCTCTTCCTCAAGGACCACATTTCCTCATTAGAAACAAGTTTAAGGGCGCCCTTCCACTCTGTTCTCAGGCTTACCATAGCCTTCTGATCTGATCTCTTATGATACGACATTTATACTGCATCCTCTATAATCATAAATGTATGTATGTCTCAGTATTATTTATGACAAGACAAAGCCCTGTTCATATTATTTTTTTCTTTGTTTTTTTTTTTTCCTTAAACAGTACCTGAGGTTGACCCTGGGGCCTTGTACATGCTAGGCAAATACTTTACCACTGAGCTGCATCCCCAGTTCTTTTATTGTTTTATTTTGGGACAGGGTCCTCCTAAGTTGCCTGGGATGGCTTCATATTTGCAATCCTCCTGCCTCAGCCTCCAAATAACTGGGATTACAGGCATGGACCAT